CTTCACCATCACTCTGGATTCATTGACAGAAGGCTGCAAGACCAAACCCCACCAGGACATGCAGAGAATGCGCCAAGTGTCCGCAAGAAAATGACTAACTGAGAATAGATGTAACTGTGCCGCCCCAATGGGGCATTGAAGTTTAATGTTAGATAGAATTTATATAGTGTTTTTCCCTTAATCCTTTTCCTATGGCCATTCTATATGTTAGTTCCTATGCTGCCATCTAGTGGCCTTTTGTGATATTGCACTTGTTTTTTTATGTATTCCTTTCCTCATGTGATGACACATTTCCTCTGTATGTAAGCCCCTCCCTTCTTATTGTTGGTCAGTATTTCCTGTGTCATGGCCACAGCTAACAGCCACATGTAATCAGGACTGCATAGTACCCTAGGAAAGGCATCATCTTTGGACCGCATAATACTGAAAACCACCCATCTGCTGTATCCTGTTGTCTGATGTGCAGAATAAAGCAACCTTTGTGGATGAAACGTTATTGGTGAGTTCAGCTATCTGACGATGAATGTCCGCAGTGATTGAATCTGCTTATACAGGCTAGGCATAGAGGTCTCAACAAGGGATACATCGCTATCACAACAATCGGAGTCAGAATAGTAACCCAAATCCCTGCAACTCGAAAAGTGATGTCATTTTCAATCCTTATAACTCTCCAGCTGTTAATAAAACAATCCCTGGTGATCCTGCCATGAGCAGCCTTCATGGAGACCACAAGTGTCTGTTCTCAACACACATTACACAAACATGGTCCACTGTTGTCACCATCAGGAAAGCCGCCCTGAGAAACGTCATGCAGCCATTGTGTCTGCATGTAGACAGGAAGTGATGGAGGACTGAGATGCGACAACAGGCAAGTGTATATAATACATAGTGTACAAGTAGAACATACATGGTCTGCACTCACATCTACTTTAAAGGCAAAGGGTGGTCACACCGCATATGGATTTCATTAAGGTCATTGCACCCCCCCCCCCATGCCCCATTTACAGCATTAATTAGGAAGTTTCTTGTCCATTATTTCTTTTCATAGAGTTCCCATTATGCAGCCTTCTTCCCGAACCCTTTGCACAGCACTGGATTAACATTAGGCATCTGGTCAGCCGAGTTTCTCACACTGGGTTGGGATCGTCGGGTCATAAGACTCACCCTGAAAGGGCTGTTTTCCTGTAGCGATTTCATATATCACCACCCCGAGGCTGGAAGAGAAGAAGGAGGACAAATGTCATCGGATACCAATGGTGAGGAATGTCATTGCCATCGTACGGACCTCTGACCCCTGGCTGCATTTATAATTAGGAGTCCTAAGAATCGGTTTACGGGAATGTCTTGTCCGTGCGAAATCCTCGTCCTTATTGCTAGCGTTGAGATTTGAATTTGGGGGCGAAACCGAACATCCAACCTGAACTGATCAAATTGTTTGAATCCGAAATTGCATGAACTCCAGGCATCCGGCAGCAGCTGGCCCTTTAAGAGATTCTTCGCATTGGGAGGCAGAGGTGGGCTTCACAATTATGTGATTGCCGATTGGCTGTCACAGTGATCACGTTAGCAGAAGCCCATCCACCCGTCATAAACTGGGAGCTGCCAGTGACAGCACGATCACTGTGCTGGGGGCAGTGGTGCGTTTTGGTTTTGCGCTGCCCTAGGCAAGACTAAGCCCGGGCACAGCACCTCAATCTAAAGAATACATTGCAGCCCCCCGGCCTGCTTCTGGGACATCCCGCCATCAGATCACATGCTATGGCCAGCCCCGAGCCACCCCGCTGCTTCTCCTCCACCTCCTGTACAAAGCCAGCCGCAACGCAACTCACTGGGCCCTCCCCTCCACCGGGTGGCTCTCTAATAAGGCAGCCGCTCTTAGGAACTTGTGGCCGCCTAGTTTGCCTAATTAGGCATCCGCCGCTGCCTGATTCTGTGCTGCCCCTGGCCTCGGCCCATTGGGCAAGTGCCCAGTAATGCCCAAAGGCAAGTCTGGTCCTGACCGCCTTATTGGTTTGGGGCGGCATTTTTTGCTGCCCCCCCTGGAAAGTGCCGCCCTAGGCAAATGCTTAGTTTGCCTTGCGGTAGATACACCCCTGGCTGGGGGGCGCCAAGTGATTGCACAGCCGGTATACATATGTGGGGCAGCTGGGTCTTAAAGCCTAACGCCATGCTGCCAAAGAAACAATATTTTACAGTTAAATTATAAGAAATATCAAACAACCGGAAGACGCCCCCAAATGAACTGTGAGCGGTCTCTTCATTTTGCAGCGGCTTTTTGCATCTCTACCAGGATAGCACACTGATGAGACCCAACAAGGTCAGAACTGGTTGTTGGCAGGGTTTGCTCATGCTTATGGTGATAGTTTTCCTAAATAGGTGTACACGGCTGTGACAGTTCAGAGATAGAACGCTGAGGCTGTTTCCAGGACAACAGAACATCTGCTCTGTGCTGGTTACAATGTAACATTCATCTGATGAGGAACCAGTAGAGGTGCCGCCCAGAGTTGCACAAGATGAAGTTTCCTAACAGAGATTGTGAAAGACAAAATTCTCAAAGATTTCGGGGAGTTCTCGTTAGAGAAAAGATCAGCGGGAGAAGATTCTGACACCGAAATGTTTTCACTATTTCCCAACAACTACTTCTACATTTCATCACGGAGAAATACACTAGATTGAGATTGTGGTATAAGGTCTCGTTCACACCTAGGCGTATTGCATATGCGCGACCGTCGTGCGTTTCCAAAGGCTACTTGGCTGTATCCCAATGGAAAACGCCCTACAAAACGGCCCAAAGTAGTACCGGGACCTTTTCAGGGGTGGGCCGTTTTGTAGGGTGTTAGGGACGGGCGTAAATACGCCGAGGTGGGAACGAGACCCATTGACTACAATGCAATTTATATTTTTGACCGTTTTGTAGAGCGTTCGTCGAGCGTAGAACGCGCTACAAAACGGTCAGGTGTGAACGAGGGCTTATGGAGAAAGAAATGCTCGATCGTATCAGTAACAATGACTGAAATCTGAAACAAGAATCAAAATCTGAAACAATGTGTCACTTCCATATCTACAGTATATTCATGAATACATCATTAAATGTAAGATATATAGTTATTTATTTTAAATACAAAGAAAGTAAAAGGGAAAACAAATGCTTTAAAAGCAGAAAACAAAAACAGCCAGTTTATGTAAATATTCCCGGCTCCATATAGGCGCTGGATCATTAATCCCCAATGATGGAGATAAAACAAACCCTAAAGTGACACAAAGCTCCGGAGTTACATTTTAAAAATCCCTCCAAGTCCCCGAACTCTGAGCAACAAAGTATCGGATTTGTGTGTCACTCGGCTGGAGATCCTCCAATCATCTCTGACACTGTCCTTCCTTCTGGAGGGGGGCTACGTCTGTTCCCCATGGTCCCTGTGTGTGTGGTAAAGTAGTCACCGCTCCAAGCTCCGCCCCCCCAGGGATGGACTACAATCTCAATACAAATTAATAAACTAAACATGAGATTGTAGTCCATCACAGGATTGAGCTTGGAGAGGTGACTACAACACACACAGGGATCATGGGGAACAGACGTAGCCCCCCCTCCAGAAGGAAGGACAGTGTCAGAGATGATTGGAGGATCTACAGCCGAGTGACACACAAATAAGATACATTGTTGCTCATAATTAGGGTATCTGAATGGATTCTTACAATGTAACTCCTGAGCTTAGTGTCACTTTAAAGGAGAACTACAAGGTGAAAATCACTCAGCCTCATAATCTGAGCCAACCTGTGACAATGAAACTGTCCCAAGTCGGCTCAGTAGATCGGGAGGTGAGCGAACACATACCGTCGCTCGCTCACTTCTCGATCCATCCCTGCAGAGAGCCGTGACTGTCACTCACGGCTCCCTGCAGGGATTCCCCCCCTCTCCTGTCTGATCCTCCAGCGCTGACTGACGGAACGGACGGAGTGGGGGCGACACAGCTGCCAATCCCGCAGCTGGGTGGATCTCGACAGCAATGTCGGGATCCATTCAGGCTGCGGCGGTCTCCGTATACCGCGAGCTGTAGCTTTCGGTGACGGGAGAACGCTAGTTTGTGTCCTCCCGTGACCCTTAGGAGAACAATGGAGAAAAGCCCTGACCCCATAGTTCTCCTGTAATACCTCAACCCAGTTCTACAGCTTTGTCATGTGTTGGTAACACTGAACAACTCATTCTGGGCGCATTCACACCAAAATCGGAAGGGAAGTGCAAGTCAACGGAGGGTCTGAGGACTTGGAATTGGACCTTCCGATTCCCTTCCGATTCGTTACATTTCAATCCGTTTTTCAATAGAGGTTGACGGATGGGCACTGAAAAATGAATGGGTGTGAATGAGGCTAGTTCACACCGGATCCGTTGCATTACGTTGTGCTGAGTGGAAGGGCATGTTACACTGTTTTGTCTAACAGGACATAAGGGAACAGAGCAGTGTGAACGTGCCCCATTCACACCTATCCATCTTATGGTGCCAATCCGTTATCATCCATTGAAAAACAGATCGCAATGCAATAGATCCGCTGTGAATGGGCCCTCAAACTACTTAAATGAGTCCAGGTGAATGCTACCTTGTTCTGTTCAGAACAAATTGGTCCTCATTTGGTGGGAAATGGTCATGGATTTCTCTTCATTTTGTTTTGCTTTATTATTATCAAAGAAAAAACGGCCCAAAATAAAAAAAAAAAATTCTTGAAGCTCCAGCTGTAGATTTCTTGCCATTACCATGACCCACCACCAAAAAACAACCCATAATAAATTCTCCCACTCCTGGGGATGCCCCGTGTTATGCAGGTGACAGCATAGGTGAGCAGAATTTACAAAGGGGCGAATGCTAAGCAGCGGCAGCACACCTAAAATAAAATGACAATTATCTCTATAATCACCATCTCTGGTGATACATTGACGTGTCTCACCTGTAAATCTCGCTGTGTTTGTTGTACTCGTTGATATCTTGCCACGTCTCAGGGGCTATGTACTCCAGCTCTCTGTCCTTCTTTCTCGTCTCCAAATTGGGGGGTCTTCGGATAGACGATTCCGTCTTAGAGAGCTCAAATCCTGACAGCTGGGGACATCAATGGATGGATTAATAGAGTATATGAGGGTCACAGTATTATAGAGGGTCAGGCCAAAAAGAACTGATATTTCTAAATGGATCATATCCCTCATGGGGGGAGTTCACGGCAACTCCCACTTGCTGCAACGTTATTGAGGGGTCTCACTGTTCTTTAAAAGGTATAAACATACTATTGCAGTTCATGGAATACCACACTATTCTGGTGGAGCTCATCTACACCGCCCTGGTGGAGCTCATCTACACAGTCCTGGTGGCGCTCATCTACACAGTCCTGGTGGCGCTCATCTACACAGTCCTGGTGGCGCTCATCTACACAGTCCTGGTGGCGCTCATCTACACAGTCCTGGAGGAGCTCCTCACACGCCCCTCTGGAGGAGCTCCTCCACGCCCCTCTGGAGGAGCTCCTCCACGCCCCTCTGGAGGAGCTCCTCCACGCCCCTCTGGAGGAGCTCCTCCACGCCCCTCTGGAGGAGCTCCTCCACGCCCCTCTGGAGGAGCTCCTCCACGCCCCTCTGGAGGAGCTCCTCCACGCCCCTCTGGAGGAGCTCCTCCACGCCCCTCTGGAGGAGCTCCTCCACGCCCCTCTGGAGGAGCTCCTCCACGCCCCTCTGGAGGAGCTCCTCCACGCCCCTCTGGAGGAGCTCCTCCACGCCCCTCTGGAGGAGCTCCTCCACGCCCCTCTGGAGGAGCTCCTCCACGCCCCTCTGGAGGAGCTCCTCCACGCCCCTCTGGAGGAGCTCCTCCACGCCCCTCTGGAGGAGCTCCTCCACGCCCCTCTGGAGGAGCTCCTCCACGCCCCTCTGGAGGAGCTCCTCCACGCCCCTCTGGAGGAGCTCCTCCACGCCCCTCTGGAGGAGCTCCTCCACGCCCCTCTGGAGGAGCTCCTCCACGCCCCTCTGGAGGAGCTCCTCCACGCCCCTCTGGAGGAGCTCCTCCACGCCCCTCTGGAGGAGCTCCTCCACGCCCCTCTGGAGGAGCTCCTCCACGCCCCTCTGGAGGAGCTCCTCCACGCCCCTCTGGAGGAGCTCCTCCACGCCCCTCTGGAGGAGCTCCTCCACGCCCCTCTGGAGGAGCTCCTCCACGCCCCTCTGGAGGAGCTCCTCCACGCCCCTCTGGAGGAGCTCCTCCACGCCCCTCTGGAGGAGCTCCTCCACGCCCCTCTGGAGGAGCTCCTCCACGCCCCTCTGGAGGAGCTCGTCCACACCCCTCTGGTGGAGCTCGTCCACACCCCTCTGGAGGAGCTTGTCCACACCTCTCTGGTGGAGCTCCTTCCCAATGCAATGTTGCAACCATAGACCCTGTGACTAAAGACTCCTGAATGGTCCACATGATACCAGTCCAGCCTGATACTGGACATTTCATCTGGATTTGTGTTGATCAGAATATTTTAGGTACCTTTACACAGTATTTCTCGTCCACCAGAAACTTGATGCTGCTCAGACTCCCATGGAGGATGGCTTTGACTTCAGTCTGATGTAACCTGGTTAGAAAGAAAATTGTAATTGAAGGATCTGGGCTTTGTTTAGTAATGGTGCAGATATCATGAAGGCAAGCTGTGTTCACGCTCCCGGAACGATGTGTCAACATTTCCCTGAAAAATTTTCCAAAAACAATTTCGTAGCTTCGTCTAATCCTTCAGCTGACTTTGGCTGCCAGAGTCCTTCGGTTCAGCAGCACCGAAGGGCTGCTGTACGGCCTATTTACAATAGCCCGTACAGCAGCCGAGCCAAACGCAAATGCTTCGGATAGGCGGAGCCAAAGTCACAGCCGAAGCGGGGAGAGCGGTCTGCTTCGGAAGACCGTTCTCCCCGCAAATGTAAACGAAAATAATGATAAACAAAAAACAGCGTGCGTTCGGCCTCCCAATCCATACCAGACGCTTTAAGTCTGGTAGGAATTTAAAGGGGGAACCCCACCCTCCAAAGAAATTGACAGGGCAGGAAAGGGAGGAGCGAGTGCCCCCCTCCCTGCACCATACCAGGTCACATGCTCTCGGCATTGGGACAGTGCTTTTCCAGGGGTCCCGAGGTAGCGAGCATACTACCCAAGCCGAATTCCCACCTAGCGGCATTCAGCTATTCACTCTGTACTGTTCTATGAGAATAGGGGCAAACGGCAGCAAGTGAACTGCCGCACGTTCGGCTCAGCCGATCCAGATGTTGGATCGGCTGAGTCATACATGTTCTTCACTTCGGCTCAGCTGAAGATGCTGAGCATGTTCGGCTGAACCAAAGGGAGCCGCAGCCAGCCGTACTCGGCTTAAGTCAATAGCCGAACGGCGTTCTCAGAGTACTAAAACAGCTTTATCAGGTGATTCAATGCCTCTTATGTTGGGATAATATGGAGACGGCGCACCTGTACAGGGCTCTGGTCACGTCTAGAGCCATAACAACTCTCCGATCCCACGGCAAGTCTGGTTCAGCCTGTAGCAGCTCTCGTAGTGTTCCTTTCTCACATAACTCCATCACCAGAGAGTAGCAAGTTTCTGGGCCTGAAACAGAGAAGAAGGATAAGGATGGGGAGCAGGGACAGGAGACCAGGACATAGCAGAGAAGAGACCAGAGCAAAGAAGAAAAGGAGGGTGAGGATGTGAACAGAGAAATGAGACAAGGGCAGAGAGGAGAAGAGAGGATGATTATAGGGATGGACACAAAAGACCAGGGCAGAGAGAATATGTGGATGAGAACAGAGACAGGAGGCCAGGGCAGAGAGGAGGAGAGAGGATGAGGATGAGAACAGAGACAATAGACCAGGGTAGAGAGGAGAAGAGTGTCTGAGGATGGGGATAGGGAAAAGAGATAAGGATGGCAGAGAGGAGGAGAGAGATGAGAACAGAGACAAAAGACCAGAGCAGAGAAAGGATGTGGATGAGAACAGAGACAGTAGACCAGGGTAGAGAGGAGAAGAGAGGATGAGGATGGTAATAGATACAGTAGACCAGGGTAGAGAGGAGAAGAGAGGATGAGGATGGTAATAGATACAGTAGACCAGGGTAGAGAGGAGAAGAGAGGATGAGGATGGTAATAGATACAGTAGACCAGGGTAGAGAGGAGAAGAATGGCTGAGGATGGGGATAGGGAAAAGAGATAAGGGAGGGCAGAGGGAGGATGTGGATGAGAACAGAGACAGGAGGCCAGGGCAGAGAGGAGGAGAGAGGATGGGAACAGAGACAGGAGACCGGGGTAGAGAGGAGAAGATGAGGATGGGTAGAGAGATAAGAGACCGGAGAGGATGGGAACAGAGGCAGAATACTAGAACAAAGCTACAGAGGGTCTAGATCAGAAGGGGGGAGGACAGGAACAGAGCCCAGGGACATGGAGAGAGATATTACGTTGGTGTCCTCACCTGAATTATCAATAAAAATACCATAGAGCCGCAAGATATTCATACACTCAAATTTCTTCATCGTTTTGCTCTCGGACTCAAACGTCTTCCGGATGAACCTGTAAAACAGAAATAGTCACCTCCTGCCCACCCTTCTAGGAGATAAAAAGAGGACCTGTCTGTGTATCTCTTAGGAACTCACTCTTCACTCTGCATGTTCTGATACTTGAACACTTTGATGGCCACAGGGCTGTGGTGGAGCTCTCCCCGGTACAGGGAGTGGGTCACTCTCTCCAGCATTAGGTCTCCTCGCTTCAGATCTGTTGCTCGGATCTCCGTGATGTTCCAGTTCGGCCTGGAACCTAGTGAAAGAAACCCCAACATTACACTTTGCCAGAGCACTATGAGTTACCTAAAAAGACAACACCGGGCAAGCAGCCAGAGTCGTAGCTCCCTTTGGCTGAAAACTCAGACTGAGTCTCCCAGTAATGGCGGAGTCGTTGGGATGAGGTCCTTTTATTATAGAACCTCCTTTACCAATCATGCCGCAGCAGTGCATTGTGGATACTTGGCACTCTCTGTCTCACCTATCAGGTGAATGTGCACTTTTCATTTTTTTTAGACACTTCTTCAATGTCAGGTTGAGGATATACCTTGGCTGCCCACCTAGAGAGTTGGGAGTTGGGCTTTGACATTTTCCTCATCTGGAAATTAAAGGAGAACTATGAGGTGAGTGATAATCCCTCCTCCTCATAGTTCGAGCCGACCTGTGACAATGAAACTGTCACATGTCGGCTCAATAGATCGGGAAGTGAGCGAACACATATTGTCGCTCGCTCACTTCTCAATCATGTTCCTTCAGAGAGCCGTGACTGTCACTCACGGCTCCCTGCAGGGATCCCCCCTGTCCGATCCTCCAGCGCTGACTGGTGGAACGGACAGGGGAGGGGGCGGGCACAGCTGGCTCTGCCTCTAGATAGGCAGAGCCAGCTGTCAATCACACAGCTGGGCGGATCCAGACAGTAATGTCGGGATCAGTCCCGGCTGCGGCATCTCAGTATACCGTGAGGTGCAGCTCCCTATATACTGAGCGTAGGGTGACGGGAGGACGCTAGTTTATGTCCTCCCGTGACCCTTAGGAGAACTATGGGGGAAAGCCCTGACCCCATAGTTCTCCTTTAAAGACTGAGGTAATACTGAGCATTTTCTGAGCCATTACGAAGGACATTTCTTCTACTACATCTGGAATATGCGGACTTTGAGTGGCTGACGATACTCCTGTCTGTGTGCGGCTGGGACGGTGTTCTGAGTACTTACATGAAACACTAATTTCATCCATTTTACTTCTCAGGTCGCTTATCGCATTCGTTATGTTGGGTATCTCGGTCTCCAAGCGGGTCACATGACCTGCACCAAACAGAAATGAAAATAAAATTATTTTTATGTGAACAATCGCAGCTGGAAAGGAATATGGAGAATATTATGGAACGCTCTTATTCTTGTCAATGGAGTTATCAGTTCAGCCACCAAACTCCACCTACAAGTGGTAAGGAATGAGTCACAAAACACTATATGGCCAAAGGTCTGTTGACACTTAATCAGCATGTCAATATGAGCTTGTTGGAAATCCCATTCCAAAACCATAGCCATTAAAAGGAGAACTATGGGGTCAGGGCTTTTCCCCATAGTTCTCCTTAGGGTAACGGGAGGACACAAACTAGCATCCTCCCGTCACCCTAGGCTCAGTATATAGGGAGCTGTACTGAGACGCCGTAGCGGATCCCGACATCGATGTCGAGATCCGCCCAGCTGCGTGAGTGACAGCTGGCTCTGCCTATCTAGAGGCCGAGCCAGCTGTACCCGCCCCCTCCCCCGTCCGTTCCGCCAGTCAGCGCTGGAGGATCGGAGCGGGGAGAGGGGAATCCAGCCCCTCCCCTGTCACGGCAGAGAGCCGTGACAGGATCGAGAGGTGAGCGAACGCCGGTATGTGTTCGCTCACCTCCCGATCTACTGAGCCGACCTGTGACAGTCTCATTGTCACAGGTCGGCTAGAACTATGAGGTGAGTGGAAATCACCCCCCTCATAGTTCTCCTTTAATATGGGGTTAGTTCCCCCTTATGGAGTTGGTCCCTTGTTTTGGCTAGAACATCCTCAACTCTTCTGGGAAGGGTTTGCTTAAGATTTTGGAGTGTGTCTGCGGGAATTTGTCCCATTTGTGAGGTCAGGTGCTGATGTTGGATGAGAAGACCTGACTCACAACTGGTGTTCCAATTCATCCCAAAGGTGGTCAGTATGGTTGAGGTCAGGACTCTGTGCAGGATACTCGAGTTGCTCCACCAAACTGGTCACCCCATGTCTGTATGGAGCTGGCTTAGCACACAGGGGACAGTCATGGTCAGGGCCGGATTTCCAACCAAGGCCCGGCCTTAGGAGCAGCAGGGAGTAGAGGGGCAGCAGGGGTGTGGAATTCCTATCTCTCGATGCCTGGGACATGCAGTTACGGGGGCCGGGCGGATAGTTTTCTACATTTAGCCCTGACTTGGGCAAGCAGAGCTAAATGTACAGCGGGGAAGCCAGCACTTGTTTTGTATGCAGCCTACAGGTCTGCCACTCTCCATGGGGGGGGCTTTTTGGCGGGTAGGGGGGGTGCATTAAGGAACCTGGCCTTGGGGCAGCAGAGAGAGTAAATCCGGCTCTGTCTACAGTATATGTTATGCTATAGTCTGCATCGGCTGTATGCAAGGCCTCGATGTTATGTACCCTGTTACTTTATATCTGGAGAAAGAACTTACTGTGGAGATAAGTGCGGAGCTCTTCCAGGTCTTCCTTTATATCCTTCTCGTTTTGCTTCTTCCTGGTGTTCTCCGTGAAGAAGCGAGAGAACTTCCCCCTGTGCTCGGCAGCCATCAGGAGGGAAAGCTGGGTGGCAGCATCCCCCAGGCGATCGTTGATCAGGTCAAACTCTTCCTTGATGCCGTTGGCCTGGAGTAGCCGTTTCCACCACGCATGATCTGAATATTTATTGACCCAACACGCGGCGTTCTCCAGTGTGGTGGCCATTTCCTTCACCACTGTCTTCAGACTCGCAGACTTATCCTGCTGCTTATTCAGAGACTCGGCAGTCAGCACCAACATTTGGATCCTCTTCTTTAGCCGGTGGCATTGCTTCTTGTTGGAGCTGGCCTTGTCACACAGGTCATAGATGGTCGCAGCAACAGCGAAGATGTGACCCAACGCCTCCATCTCCTGCAAGGACAAAGGGGTGGGGGTTGGTTAGAAGAAGGTAAAGTTGGGTGTGGAAGGGTGTGAAGGTCAGGGTGGCCTACCAGGTTTGTGCACTGGCACCCATTTTTTTTATCACTATTTTTAGGCATGAATGCATGTTTTTGACTCCACAGATTGACGGAGGGTGCAGGTACCTTCGGCCCTCATCCTGATGTTAGGGGGGAGGTTCTGGGGCCTTCACAGGCTTCTCTGCCTTCCCCCACTTGGGGGGGGGGGGGCCCTCTTTTGTGG